AAATAGATCAGACATAACAATTTTAATATTTTAGCAGCCAAATATGCCTGCTAACTACTGACGGTTTAAGGGATAAGCTAATATAACTAAGATTATAGGTGTTGACTCAATTGATATATCATACAGTTCACCATAACACATTCTATAAATTCAAATTTTGGCACTAATGGGATTTAAACTTTTGTTCTGCCACTTGAAAGTGCAACAACTTACCAACTTCACTAAATCACTGCACTCTCATTTTTTTTAATTTTTTATAATCAATTTAAACAAAACTAATGCTATTTTTTTTTTTTTTTTATCTTTTTCCACATCTCAAAGGTTTTTAGACACCTTTGAATCTCTCACATCTTTTAAAGGCCAGAGTTTTCATATCTGCGAAGATCACTAATATAACAAATTGACCACCTATATATCATTATACTGGTGAAATAACTCATGCTCTATTAAGTATGTCATATAACATTCTGGATCTTTGGTACTGCAATGTAGAATCTATATTCTCTAGATCCACAGTTCTTTAAATTCACATGACCTACAAGCTAAATTGTCTTTTTATATCTAATATTCTTGATTCTAGTAATTCTTAAGCTGGGTTTTTCTCAATTTTAGTGTTGTTTGTTGACGGATTATACCTTATTTGGTCATTTTCAGCCTCATGGCTATGCTAGTAGACTGCAACTTGTACAAATCTTGATCTTCATTTTTTTAATAAAAAATTCTCTAAAGACCTTAACCAATTATAATTCTGGCAGAGCCATTTGTCACCCAGTAAACTCAAACTCACAACCTTGTAATTGTGACCAGAAGCGCTAACCACTGCACTATTGACCCACGGGTCTTCTAATGCTATTTTTAATTGTATATATTATCTTGAAGTGTGAAATAAATAATTGCAAGTTGAGTAGGTTAGCTAGAAGTTCAAAGTGGTATTTATAAAATTTCATAAAGTACAAACATTTTATTTTTAGACTTGAGAATTGTTTTAGTCAAGGCCAACACAATCAAACATAACCGATATAGCCAGGATTCTCTTAAAATATTTTTTGAAAAAGGTCAATAAATTTCAATGATTGTAAAATTGATATTTAATTCATAATTAACATAAATTTTTATTTTATTTAGAAGCAAATAATTTTTAATTTGTAATTATTTAATTTGGAAGTAAAAGAATTCTTTATTTAATAAATTTTTATTTTATTTAAAAAAAGTTTTATACAATAAATTAAAATAAATAAAAAAACTAAATAAGACTACAAGTCTAGTTTTCTATTAAGTAATCGAACTCGATGACAAATATGTTTTATGTTCATAGGCTAAATCAGTTACGTTCATTTCACCGACAATCAATCCACCGACAGTACAATTCACCAACAAAGTAATTCTGGTAATTGCCGTTAGGGTCAGGTTAGAATTAGAGTTAAAGCTAGTGTAATTTATAAAAAGCTTGTCGGTGAATCGTATTGAAACTTGTCGGTGAATCGTACTGTCGTTGAATTGATTTTCGGTGAATAAATCAATAACTTGAAGTTTCATGGCCAATTTTTATTCGTCTTATTTCAAAGCTAAAAACTTGCTGCTCCCCTTTCTCGAAGAAATGGCAAAATTGAGTTTTTTTTAAATGAAAAAAAAACCAGATTGCTTGACAACCGTTAGCACGAAAGAAAACACGCGGGTGTTCTGATATTAAAGTTGCTATGATTAGAAAAGTTAAAAAGGACTTTATGCAAGCTTTTATTATGCTGCCAGTATTATATAATGTGAGACAACGGGCAATCTTTGAGGACAAGATTATTCATGGTTTTACTTTTTATTACGCTTTAAACACCTACACGTCGTAGAATTTAACTTTCTCGCAACATGTCATGTGAGTGCGGTTTCCTTTTATAAACCCCTTGAAATAAATAATTGAAAGTGGCTACCGTTGCAATTTACTATGTAAAATTGGCCTGTCATATGAATGTCGATCACTCAAATTCATAGGAAAAAATTTACCCCCATGACTTGTATGCACAATATAACAGATAATTGGATAGTAATCACCCATGCGTTTTGTCTAAAATATTGTATCGATACCAACAGCACCTTCTTGTTTAAATCATATATTTACATTTATATTTGTTTGAACCCAAAAATACTGTCAAGTTGAAGCATTTTAAGCTTAAAAAGTTAGTCCGTAAGGCGATTGGCCGACACAAATCATCGTTGTCTACAACTGCTGAATCTAATAATGGAAACATGGATTTCTTAAAGATCACAAAGGTTCGGCTTTGAGAAAAACAATCAACCCCGTTTTTATTACGAGTTTGATAATTTAACAGTCTTGTCTTTTTTATTAGGTTGAAAATGTTACTCTTGAGAAAGGTCAGGTTACTACAATTGGTACCCTCCATTTGACGACGCATCAAATGATTTTTAGACAGCCGTGTCAAAAAGACGAGCTATGGGTATGCTTTCTCTATAAGCTATAAGACATTTCGGAATCAATATCTTCCTACGCATTTGTTATAGTTAAGAAATTGTCATATAAATAATTGAAATTTAGATCCCATATCCAATTATCCATACTGTCGAGCGTCGTTCGTCCACTACTGATCCTAAGTTATGGCCTTTAATCATTCGGTGTCGTGACTTTAAAACTTATTCATTCTTCATACCATTCGAACAAGACTCGATTGATGTTTTTGACACAATACAAAAATTAACATGTATTGGTATACATTTAATTCTTTTTTATATAGGCATTTTAATGGATTTTCACGATAAACTTCAATTTAATTTACTTATTTGAAAAGAATCCATTAGTCAGGTCTATGCTTTCGATTATATACCTGAAAAAGATTTTTCTTCTTCGGATGGTTGGTCTGTTTACGATGTGTATCAAGAATATAGTAGAATGGGTGTTAGTATAACGACTTTCTCCTGGAGATTTTCGTCCGTAAATCGTGACTATACTGTATGATGATTTTGTTTCAATTTCTTGTTTACAATATTGTAATTTATCTGATATCGTTCATTCCATAATCGTAGTTTTGCGAAACGTATCCACATACTTTAGTTGTACCTGCCAAAATTAGCGATACTGTTCTACACCATGCTTCAAAATTCAGAAGTAAAAATCGTATACCTGTTCTAAGTTATTTACATTGGCATAATAAGGTTATTATTAAAATTTTCTTAATTAATTTTTTATAATCATATTATGTTCAAACGAACTCTTTCATCTCACTAGGCATCCATAACTCGTTGCAGTCAACCAATGGTTGGACTCAAAAAAAATCGTTCAATACAAGATGAAAAACTTATTGAAGCTATTTTTCGGACTAATGTACCTAGTTTACCTCCTGGACTACTATCAGTATATGGTTCAACACAGACAAATTTAATCGTTGATGCTCGACCTACAGCTAATGCTATAGCAAACGCTGCAATGGGTGCGGGTTCGGAAAATATGGAACACTATAAAAATTGTGAAAGAAAATTTATGGGTATTGATAACATCCATGTAATGAGAGAAAGCTTAGGAAAAATGGTAGAAGGTATGTATATATATTTTTTTTAAATGTTTATATGTATGTGTATATATATATATATATTTATTTATTTATTTATAGAATTTTTCTAATAAACTGAAATTTTCATAGTAATCCAAACTGCAGACACTCAATGCTTACCAATTAAAAAGCAAAGTCTAGATAAATCTAATTGGCTTAAGCACATTTCCTCTTTATTAGAGTCTTGTCTAATTATCATCAAAAATGTACATATTGCTAGTTCTCATGTACTTATTCATTGTTCAGATGGTTGGGATCGTACGACACAATTGACATCAATCTCTATACTTTGCTTGGATCCATATTATCGTACTTTCAGAGGATTTCAAGTTCTGGTGGAAAAAGAATGGGTATCCTTTGGTCATAAATTCTCCGATCGTTCTGGTCACCTTTCTGATGAAAAGTATTTCATTAATAGTGTTAATGCAAATGCTGCGAACACAGCTTTCAATACTGTACAAAGCAAGTTTTATAATCAATCTCATGTTCGAGAAATTTCTCCTGTGTTTCAACAATTTTTGGACTGTGTATTTCAAATCTTATCGCAATTTCCTACAAGATTTGAATTTAATGAAAAGTTTTTGATCGAATTGCATTATCATTGTTATTCATGTCAATTCGGGACATTTTTATGCAATTCGGAAAAAGAAAGAATGGATTATAAAGTCACTACTAAAACTTATTCTGTTTGGGATTATTTCAATTCCAATAAAAGTGTATTTCTTAACCCTTTATATGATGGTGGAGCTGAAGATAAGGTGACCAGAACGATCGGAGAATTTATGACCAAAGGATACCCATTCTTTTTCCACCAGAACTTGAAATC